AGAGAGAGAGAGAGGAAGAGATCTCCTTTCCACGGTTTTCGTTTCGGTGGAAATCTTGCACCGCGCCTCGTTCTCCGCAATGCGCAGCTCCACGTTTCCTCCAACAATTTCCTCCGCTCGAAACTATTCTCAACGAACAGAGATACGACTAATCGAGACGTTGCGTTTGCGTGAGATGACGTCGAAGTGGAAGTTCAAAGTCATTGGTTCGACGCGAGGAAAAAGGGATAGGTCCCGATGGGTGAACGCAGATTACACGGAAGTAATTCAATTACATTCGGGAAGATGGTTAAGCAAGAAGAGATCTAGCAATTGGAGGACATGTCGGCGGTTGTCGAACGTGTACGAGATAATCGAATTATCGTCGCTTTGAGGAGCAGCGCCCGTGGATGATCTGATCACGTGGCTGATGAACAGATCGCCAGCGATGCGAGCCGCTTTCCCTTCGAAAGCGGCTCTTCTCGTTATGGACCCTTCACGGTTACGTTCCAACGAACCGTTACCACCGTTAGCTCGCTAGCTTCCCAACGATACCTAACTTCTACCGAGTGATTAAAGCCACGAAAGCGAAAAGGGAAAAAGTGCGCATTAGTTGCGTACCGCATCCGCGATAAACGCGCCAATCTCGAGTTGTCGAATAGAGTCGAGGCGTGATTGTCGCGCGCTCTCTTCTCCACGAAAACGCGAAAACGCCTTCCCCGCTTTCGTCGACGAGCCAGTGCGTCGAGAATCGCGGAACAAAGTGGAGAAATTTGGAACGACCGCGTCCAGTCTCTGGCAAAGGTTTTCGAGGTCGTCGGTGGTATTCAGGTTGGCTTCCGCAGGAATTCCCGCGGTCGAATTCCGCTATCCCTAACTCGAAAATACTTTTCACGGATTTCTGGCAACGTTTCGCTTACCTTTTACGCAACGATAAATGTTAACGCGTCTCGTCGAATCTCGTCGAAGAGGAATCGTCGAAATCGTTCTCTCCATTCCCGCCTCGTTCCGTCCATTCGTGCTCGAAAGTGTCGCGTGCGCACCGCGGCGATCGCTCGTTTCCAAATTATTATAAACGCGTCATCGCTCGTTATTGGCGACACATTCTATGCGCGTACGTACGGGGGGGGAGAGGGGGGGGGAGGATGGAACAAAACGTACGTACACCCTCATACTTTCCGAACGGCGTATTAACGGCGATGACTTTAATCAACCTGTAATAACAATAAAATATATTAACGTCCGACGTATAAATTCAACGAGGGAGGGAGGGAAGGGAGGGGATTCGATCGTTAACGCGATTATTATGTGGCCAACTTTGCGCGCATTCGGATTTAATAGTTTGCATAATTTACCTGGCTAGTTAGTTATTCCATTAATCACCACACTTGTAGGAGTATAAGGTTACGCATAATAATTGTACCATTATTTAGATCATATTCGGTGTATATCGATAATCAGGGCGGCAATAACGCAATAATTTCGACAACGTAATTAATCGACTCGTCCGATGTTGGACGGTCGACGAGATTCGAGGCTTCCAGGCGGAACGATAAAATACACGTGTATGTGGAAAAACGGATTAATTGAAACGAGAAGAGAAACGGAAGAGCATCGAGATCGAGCGAAGACGGGGCGAAGAAAGCGGTTAAATATCCGGTTCTAAACGCGCACGAGTTTCAAATATTTCGTCTTTATTAATTAATTCGTATCAAAGGGCAGGGATATTAATATTTGCTTCGCAGTCTCAACCGCATAGAAGATATTAACGTCCCGTGTAATATTGTGTCCAGGCTAGAGGGAGAGGACATATTGAAACCGCACAAACTTTGCTCATAGCATCCGTAGCGGGTACTCGTAAATATACAGGGTGGCTGAGATCGAACGGATCCGGTGTATGGACATAGACGCGGAATTTAAGTCTGTCGCGAAGAAGAGTAAGCGTGTGCCGGATTAATCGCGCGGAACGACGAACCTTCGTCCAACCTTCGAAATAACTTATTCGAAATAATTATTTCCCCTTCCCCGTTCGTCTTCGGTTCCGTTTCGCGTCGTATTTTGCGATCGAGAATGAATGATCGAGCGCGGGGGGGGGGGAAAGAGGAAAAAGAACGAAAGAAAAACGCGAAATGAAATATAAAACGCGCGGAATACTTGGAATACCGGTGTTTGTACTTTTTTATTTACAACTTATCGTCGGAAAAACCGGCCGATATTTTCGAACGTTTCAATAACGGGCCGGGTGAATGGATAAAATGGAACGGGGAGAAGGCAAACGGTGGCGATTAAATAAACGTTAAACCCCGAAATTTCGTTTAAACGGCGGGCAGGGGTGGATTATACATACGTCTTTGGGCGAAAACAATTAATGTTTATCGGGAAGCTCGCGCAGCCGTTACCCGACAAGCCGGCGGTTGTCCCGGGGACCGATGCCGCTTAAACGCGCAATAAGTGGAGAGAAGAGAGGGTCAAACTAATTCGATTCTAAACTCTGACCGCATCGCGCGAGAAAGAGGCGGGCGGAGGGTGGGCAGAGGAGGCGCCCGCACCCACGATGGACACAGATGGCACTAACCGCGCCGTTAAATTCTCAACCTGTAACTCTAATTGCTCGTAGACGAGGCCAAGTTTCTCCTCCACCGTGGCAAACCATATGCCGTACCAACTTGTCGCGTATCAAGCTTGCGTACGCGATTGTACCTCGATCGTTCGATTCCACACGATTCCCCACACCTTCGCTAATCGGCTGTCGACACGAACTAAAATTAATCGATCAATTACGGCCACGGGATTAATGCTCGTTCGTTTACACTTTGTTTGTTTGAAGTTGGCGCGGTGATCAATCGAGGTGTTTCGCTCGTGTTGCAGGACACTGGAATAATAATAATCGAAAAGTGAGCGAGCAAAGCCGCAATGGATGGGACGAAAAGCGAGCCGAGCAAGAGCGGGGCTGTGCAACGGGAGTGCGGTGGTTGCGGAGAGGTAATTACAGAAAGGTAATAATTTCAGGCGAATAATATTATTAGCCGATTTCTTTTCGAAAACTTTCCTTTCCTCTATCTTCCAAGATTTTTACACAAGATTTTTCCAATTCGACAGGTATCTTCTCAAAGTGTTGGACATGTTCTGGCACGAGGATTGCTTAAAGTGCAACAGTTGCAATTGTAGACTCGTGGAAGCTGGTCCCTCGCTTTACATAAAATCTAATCTGATATTGTGCAAGAAGGATTATTTGAAGTAAGCTACGTCACCTTTTTTTCCCCCTCTTCTTTCGACCTATTAATATACATATATATATGTATGTATGTATTCGCGAAAGAATTGGAAATCCATATATATATATATATATATATATATATATATGTATAATATATATCAT